AATACCACTGGAGGAAAATTCCACTTAGGGTTAGGGTTAGGTCACCATGAACTTATAGAGCAAAATTGACATTGCCAACAAATTCGTAGTGCTTTAGTAAGGTTAGGAAGGCACTGCCCTACCTATGTTTCCTGGCAAAATACATGGGAAAATCGCATTGAATCAAAATTCCACTTAGAGTTAGGGTTATGTCACCATGAACTCGTAAAGAAAAATTAACATCGTCAACAAACTCGGATTGCTTGGTTAAGGTGAGGAGGGCATTGACTTTTCTAGGCTGCCCTGTCCATGTTTCGTGGTAAAATACATGGGAAAACCCTTTTGGAGGAAAATTCCACTTAGGTTTAGGGTTAGGTCAACATGAACTCATAGACCAAAATGGACATCGCCAAGAAACTCATAGTGCTTGGATATGGTTAGGAGGCACTAACTTTTCAAGGCTGCCCTATTTATTTTTCCTTGTAAAATACATGGGAAAATCCCATTGGAAAAAAATTCAACTTAGGGTTGGGGTTAGATCACCATGAACTCGTAGAGCAAAATGGACATCGTCAACAAACTCGGAGTGCTTGGGTATAGTTACGAGGGCACTGATTTTACTAGACTGCCCTACCTATGCTTCTTGGTAAAATACATGGGAAAATCCCATTGGAGGAAAATTCCACTGAGGGTTAGGTCACCATGAATTAGTTCAGGAAAATGGACATCGCGAAGAAACCTGGAGTGCTTGGACAAGGGTAGGAGGGCACTAACTTTTCTATGCTGTCCTATCTATATTTCCTGGCAAAACATATGGGAAAATCCCTTTGGAGAAAAATTCCACTTATGTCTAAGTTTAGGTCACCATGAATCCATAGAGGAATATGGACATCACCAAAAAACTTGGAGTGCTTGGATATGATTAGGAGGGCACTGACTTTTCTAGTCTGCCCTATCTATGTTTCCTGGCAAAATAAATGGGAAAATCCCATTGGAGGAAAATTCCATCTAGGGTTAGGGTTAGGTCATTATGAACTCATAGAGCAAAATGGACATTGGCAACAAACTCGGAGTGCTTGTGTAAGGTTAGGAGAGCACTAACCTTTCTAGTCTGCCCTATCTATGTTACCTGGTAAAATACATGGGAAAATCCCATTGAATCAAAATTCCACTTAAAGTTAGGGTTAGGTCACCAAGAACCCGTAGAGGAAAATTGACATTGCCAACAAACTTGGAGTGCTTGGATATGGTTAGGAAAGCACTGACTTTTCTCGTCTGCCCTATCTATGTTTATGGTAAAATAAATGGGTAAATCCAATTTGCGAAATATTCCACTTAGGGTTAGGGTTATGTCACGATGAAGTAGTCCAGGAAAATGGACATTGCCAACAAACCCGGAGTGCTTGGGTAAGATTAGGAGGACACTGTCTTTTCTAGTCTGTCCTATCTACGTTTCCTAGTAAAAAAAAAGGGAAATCACATTGGAGGAAAATTCCACTTAGGGTTAGGGTTAGGTCACCATGAACTCGTAGAGAAGTGGTTCTCAACCTGTGGGTCGCAACCCCATTTGGGGTCAATCGACCATTTCACGGGGGTCGCCAAACAATTCAGTCCGCCATTTTTTCCCCCTTTTCCTTAGCTTTGCTACTCCCTTTTATTCTATTGGCTTTTGAAAGTCAATAGAATAGTCTCTCTTGAATATAGTCTAATTCTATTTGTTTTCAAAAACCAATAGGAATTTTCCAGGCTGTCTCTGCCCTGCTGAGCCCCCCAAAAGCCCTAGTCTGCAAACGGTGCTGCAAGTTGTCTGCGGCGAAGGTGAACTGTCTGGAAGTTTCCACCACTCCCTGCTCAACAACTACTAAAAATGTAAGTAAAAGAGGGCCAGGGGTGGGAGGTGGGAGGCCGGCGGGTGCAGGGAGGGTTGCTGGCACGAGTGGTGTCTGGCAGGTGCCTTTCCTCCCTTGGGCTGGGTCAGTTGGTGGCCCAGCCGGTGGTTGCCCTGCGCCGTCACTGCCCTTGCCAGCTACACCTCTTCGACTTATGACCGGTTGGTGGTCGCGGCATTAAAAAGGTTGAGAATCACTGTTGGAGAGAAAAATGGACATCGTTAATGAACACGGAGTGCTTGGGTATAGTTAGGAGAGCACTGATTTTTCTAGTCTGCCTTAACTATGTTTCCTTGTAAAATACATGGGAAAATTCCATTGGAGGAAAATTCCACTTAGGGTTAGGGTTAGGTCACCATGAACTCATAGAGGTAAATTGACATCGGCTACAAACTCAGAGTGCTTGGGTATAGTTAGGAGGGCAGTGATTTTTCTAGTCTACCTTTTCTATGTTTCCTGGCAAAATACATGGGAAAATCGCATTGGAGGAAAATTCCAGTTAGGGTTAGGATAAGCTTTTCATTCAGACTCTTTTGTGGGCCGCAGTGAAATACATGGGAAAACCCCACTGACAAGAAAATGAAACTAGGGTTAGGGCTAGGGTTCAATCCCTTTGGAGTTAGGGCTGAAAAATGATGTGAGGACAAAATTCTAGGAGGTTGTCAAAGGAAAGAGAACATAATAGCTTTTCATTCAGACTCATTTGTGGGCCGCAGTGAAATACATGGGAAAACCCCATTGACAAGAAAATTAAACTAGGGTTAGGGCTAGGGTTCAATCCCTTTGGAGTTAGGGCTGAAAAATGATGTGAGGACTAGATTCTAGGAGGTTGTCAAAGAAAAGAGAACATAACAGCTTTTCGTTCAGACTCTTTTGTGGGCCGCAGTGAAATACATGGGAAAACCCCATTGACAAGAAAATGAAACTAGGGTTAGGGTTAGGACTAAGTTAGGGTTAGGGTTAGATCCATTTGGACTCTGGCCTGAAAGATGATGCAAGGACTATATTCTGGAATGTTGTCAAAGGAAAGAGAACATAACAGCTTTTCGTTCGGACTCATTTTTGGGCCACAGTGAAATACATGGGAAAATCTCATTGACCAAGAAAATGAAACTAGGGTTAAGGCTAGGATTAGGGTTCGAGCTATTTGGAATCAATGCTGAAAAATGATGTGAGGGCTATATTGTATAAGGTTCTCAAAGAATGAGAATATAACAGCTTTTTGTTCTGACTGTTTTGTGGGCCACAGTGAAATGCATGGGAAAATCCCATTGGCAATTAAAATGAAACTAGGGTTAGGGTTAGGGTTAGATCCCTTTGGAGTTATGGCTGAAAAATGATGTGAGGGCTAGATTCTAGGAGGTTCTCAAAGGAAACAGAACATGTTTTTGTTCAGATCCTTTTGTGGGCCGCAGTGAAATGCATGGGAAAATCCCATTGAAAATTAAAATGAAACTAGGGTTTTGGTTTGAGCTAGGCTAGGGTTATGGTTAGATCCTTTTGGAGTTAGGGCTGAAAGATAATGTAAGGGCTATATTCTGGGATGTTCTCATAGAAAAGTGAACTTAACACCTTTTCGTTTGGACTCTTTTGTGGGCCGCAATGAATCCATGGGAAAATCCCATTGATAATGAAACTAGGTTTGGGGTTAGGGCTAGGTTATGGTTAGTGTTAGATTCCTTTGGAGTCAGGGCTGAAAAATGATGTGAGTGCTATATTCTAGGAGGTTCTCAAAGGAAAGAGAAAAGTAACAGGTTTTTATTTGGACTCTTTTGTGGGCTGCAGTGAAATACACGGGAAAACCCCATTTTCCATGAAAATGAAACTAGGGTTAGTGTTAGGGTCAGGGTTAGGGTCAGGTTTAGATTTAAGCTTAGGGTTAGGTTTAGGCTTAGGCTTCCTTTTGATTCTTTTTCTGTTTACATCAACAGAGCAGTTTTAAGCAGGGATGTCCAAACCTGGCAACTTTAAGAACTTATGAATTTCAACTCCCAGAATTTCCCAACCAGCAAAGTTGCCAAGCTTGGTGACCGGTAGTTTAGAGATTCGGAAGAAGTTTATGAGAAAGGCATCTGGCTGAGCAAAAGCCCCCATTCTCCATCTTTTTGCTGAGACAAAACTTCATGCTTTTAAAACCTTCTTTTCCTTTGTGCAATGTCCTAGATTTTCGTTGCAAAGTTCAGAAGCAAAGAGAATAAATACATTCCATGATCTTACCTTTAACCCCCCCCCCTTATCTTATCCCAGTGAAAAATCTCAAAAATTATTTTATTTCACAAACCTAGAAGCATTTGCACCCATTTTAAAAAATAGCGAGATGAGTAGAATGACAAAAATGGTGGTGGATTTGAATATGAAAAAAAAATGTTTCAATGCTGAGAGGAAATAACTGGCTGGTATATTTTGTCCATCCAAGCATGAGGCATAAGTCAAGCTTGATAGGGCTATAAGCCAAAGGAGGCAGTGGCTTTGATTGTTGGTCCACTGGCTGCATGAATTGGCCTGTTTTTAGTATAAAGTGGTCAAGTTAATCATATACACTATGGTTGGTCACAGAGTCAGCCAGATCGTTAGACTGGATTTGGCATTTTTGTTCACCTACTGAGTCCTTCCCATGGACCTGGGATAGGCAGATTTTGTTTGATGGTGTTAAACTTACAGTCACAAATGTTTTTTTTATCAATTCATGTCAAGGAATTGCACAGCAGCTGTCCAGATGAAGTCAGAGACACTTGACACAAACTTGTTGTCTTTTAAATAAATATAAATAATGTTTAAATTTATAGCCGTCTTTGTCATCATCCAGAAAAGGAAGAACATAAGATAGTCAGGAACACAGGAATATCATGAGGTAAAACTGAAGTATAAAAGGAGAGAGAAAAGGAAATTCTCCCTTTATTCTTACAGCAACCAATCATATCATAGATTGCCTCATGCACTCTCTAATCAACTATTGTAGTAATCAACTACAACTGTGCGTTTTGGCCTATTGTACGCTTTACTGTTCCGGTTACTAAATTCAATACTCTAACAATTCATCTCATGCAAAATCATGATACAGATAAATCAAATCAGGTAATATTTCAATTGACCATTTTTAAAAATCACATTACAGTAGAATGAAAGCCTGACCTGATCGGGGGCTCAAGTGCTGAGCAGTGTAAAAGAGGATGCCATTTCCTGAAGAGGTCTGGAATTGCATCTGAATATGAACCTTGTGTCGAATGTTGAAGGGCTCAAATGACATCCAGGAAGATTTGCTGTTGCTGAATGATGCATCGCTTATGGTTAAGGCTATGAAATATAACAGGAAAGAGATTTCATCTCTAATAATAACAGAATATTTTAAGATTTCTTTAGACCTTACCTAAATACACATACATTAATCCCGACCTAAATTCCTCTCCCTAATTTGCCTTTAATTTACTGCATTTTATACTAGAAACAAGGAGCGGTGAGTAGGGGGTTTGTATGCAACATCTAATGTAGGGCTTTTCAACCAGTGGTACGGGTATCACCCATGGTACATTGGCACCTGGCAGGTGGTACGCACCCATCCTAGAAAAGTGGTAGTGGGGGAGGGGAATGAGCTGAACCAGTGGCAGGACTGCACAAGCCTGAGTGAGAGATGGCTGGAGCTGCAGGGCTGTCAGGGCTCAGCGGAAGCGCCAGGATCAGCACCAGGCTCTAGCTGGAGCTCGGTGCTGATCCTGGTGCTTCTGCTGAGCCCTGAAGAAGCACCAATCAGCTGGAATGTTGCAGCATCTCCAGGGTCTTGGCGACTGATTCATATTTATGACAGTCACAGTGTCCCAGGGTCATATGAAGTGACCAAAAACCTGCTCCAACCACCAAGTAGACAGGGGAAATAAAAACCAAACATTCCCCCACCCCACCCTTGCTGCCAATCCTCAACAGAAATGCTCATAACAATGAAAACCTCGGACAGGAGGAAGAGTGCTGCTGAGTGGGCAGGCAGGTGTCTTGCTCGCTGTGGCTTGGGGGGGAACTTTTTCAGTGCCATTGTAACTTCAAACAGTCACTAAGGAGAAACAGAGGCACAGAACATATTCTCATGGCAAATTGGGGAATACAGCTAAACTGGACTCTTCTCTGAATTTTCTGAACCACACTGATTATGCACAGATTGATGATATTGTATTGAATTGCATCATCTTACTGCATTTTTTCACTGAGGTTAAATGAATCATGATAATCCAATCTTCCAATTCTGCTTGAGAGTAGTATCCAAAGCACTGGGTAGTAACTTTAAAAATGTCATCTTTATGAAATACATATATTTCCTTCCTGTTTCATTAATTAAGCAGGATGCTTGAAAACTGTGTGGAAGAATACTGAGATGTGGAAAATTGTGCTGATATTCGACTGGGACACAAAACATACCATATTTAGAAAATACAGCACTGGCAGTCCTTGTCTTAGGAGCAGAACTGAGCCCGGAATTATGATAACTCATGCCAATCATCAAACAGGTCATCATGTGGCTGAACCAAATTTTACCAACTATTTTGCAGTGGTCATTAAGAGAATGACACAATCACTAAGGGAATGCCATGGTCATCAAGCAAATGTGATGGCCATTGAACAAACCCTTTGTACCCAATAAGCAATTAAAGACTGGTTTCCAGCAAAAAAACTTGGTTAATTATGGTCATGTGACCACAAGACTTTGCAAACAGCTATAAATGAAAGCCAACAGCTATAAATGAAAGCCAGCTGCCAAACTCTTAAAATGCAATCAAGTGACCAAAGGTGTTTTGTGTGTGTGTGCATCAGAACTTGAAACTGAGTGGCAGAGGTCTGTTATAATTTTAACGGTTACTAAATAACTGATTGTAAGTCAAGGACTATCTGTATGGTGTTTCAGGAATTGTTGTAGGTCTGGAAAGTAACTGTTCTTCTTTATCCCTTTATAGAATAACAAGTGTGTTCAAAAGTAAAACTCTGAAACCAACCTGTTCTTCAATGTTAGGACACACAAATCCCATTTGACCAATTAGAATCACAGGACTTTGTTGATTTTACAGGCACTGTAGCTACAACTGTGTCTCTCTTTCCCTCTTGCACTCATTATTCTCCGCCAGGTGCCTTTCAATGCACTATAGGTCACCAATCACATATTTGTTCTTCTAAGTTTATCTGTTGTCATGGATGCTCCTCTCTCTAGATAATAATTTGCATGGCAGCTTTATGCAACCTGCACCCTCCCATTTCATTACAGGAGAGTCGTTTTAACCTTTGACCTCAGAAACATCTGTGAATCTTGAAGTGAATAGCAATGGCAATGTCGCACACGGCAGGTATTTATTGCTCCTCAAAGTTTTTAAACAGAAAAAAAAATCTATGTGTAAAAAAGGAGATGCTGAAGCTCTCCTCTTCCTATTTAAGGTGTTAAGGGTGAGTATCTTTTCCCCTTATGGGAATAGCAGAGAATGATCTGAGCCAGGGAAATGTACAGGTTAATTATGAAAAGCCTGTTGGCTACTTCAATTAAAAAATAATAAAAAAAAATTAGGGAGCCTACTAATGGATTTCTTATGTTTTATAATCTAGTTCCAACAAGAATTGGATACTATATGTATAATGTAAAAGAGTTTCTAGAAATATATGTAACTGAATTAGGCTGCACGGCTTGACAGCCAGGAACTTGAATGTGTGGATCAGTATAATTCCTCTATAAATGAAATGTCATTTTTTTATGGCTCTACAACAATTTCATTCTCTGATCTTAATTTATTTTCTTTTTAATAGTCCCATTACTGTGACACCATGGTCTGTGAATTACAGCAATGAAGCAAATATTGGAACTCTTTGATGTTTACTCATTTTTCTAAGTTGCTTTATATGCAATTGCTTGGATTAGAAGTAAAGTATAAAAACTGCTGTTGATATTCCCACATAATATTAAGAATACTACATATGGAAATTTATAGAAGAAATCTCAACTCTGTAGGTTTATATTGGATGCTTGTTGTCTCATAAGTTGTTAAAGTAATGTCAGCAACATAGAAAATTTTTGATTGGAATGGCATATAAGCCTTTATTAGTCAGAGAATATATTAAAAAATCTCTGTGTGCTTTATTCATTATACCCACTGGAGTTATTCAACATATTGGAAAAGTGAATCTGGAAGGTCCAGCTAGTCCTTTAAACAAAGCAAAGATCTAGTGGATCACAGTTCAAGATTTATTATTTACTTATTTATTTATTAAATTTATATACCATCCACCTCACAGTCATGCAATTATGGACAGCACACAATTGATAAAACAATATTATAAAATATTTACCCCTTTATGGATTACTGCCTTGTTGTGGCAAAGGGGCTTGCGTAACTCAATGAAGCTATAAGCTATGCCGTGCAGGGCCACCCAAGACGGACAGGTCATAGCAGAGAGTTCAGACAAAATGTGATCGACTGGAGAAGGAATTGGCAAACCACTCCAGTATCTTTGCCATGAAAACCCCATGGACAGTACTAAAAGGCAAAAAGATATGACGCTGGAAGATGAGCCCCTCAGGTCGGAAGGTGTCCAATATGCTACTGGGGAAGAGCAGAGGGCTAGTACTAGTAACGCCAGAAAGAATGAAGCGACTGGGCCAAAGCCGAAAGGACGCTCAGCTGTGGATATATCTGGTGGTGAAAGGAAAGTCCAATGCTGTAAAGATTTTTTCTCCATAGGAACCTGGAATGTAAGATCCATGAATCAAGGCAAGCTAGACGTAGTCAAAAAAGAGATGACAAGACTGAATATCGACATCTTAGGAATCAGCGAACTAAAATGTACAGGAATGGGTGAATTTAACTCAGATGACCATCAGGTATACTACTGTGGGCAAGAATCCCTCAGAAGAAATGGAGTAGCCTTCATAGTCAATAAAAGAATAGGAAAAGCAATACTGGGATACAATCCCCAAAATGACAGAATGATCTCAATCCGAATCCAAGGCAAACCATTCAATATTACAATAATCCAAATCTATGCCTCAACCACTGGTGCTAAAGAGGATGAAATTGACCGGTTCTATGAAGCCCTACAGCACCTTATAGAATTAACACCCAAAAATGATGTCCTTATCATCATGGGGGATTGGAATGCTAAGGTAGGAAGCCAAAAGATAACCAGAATAACAGGCAAGTTTGGCCTTGGAGTACAAAATGAAGCAGGGCACAGGCTAATAGAATTTTGTCAAGAGAATACGATGGTCATAACAAACACTCTTTTCCAACAACCCAAGAGACTGCTCTACACATGGACATCACCAGACGGTCAACATAGAAATCAGATTGACTATGTGCTCTGTAGCCAAAGATGGAGAAGCTCTATACAGTCAGTAAAAACAAGACCAGGAGCTGACTGTGGCTCAGATCATGAACTTCTCGTTGCAAAATTTAGGCTTAAATTGAAAAAAGTAAGGAAAAGCACTAGGCCACGCAGGTATGAATTAAATCATATTCCTGGTGAATATAGAGTAGAGGTGACAAATAAATTTAAGGAATTAGATCTGATAGACAGAGTGCCTGAAGAACTATGGATGGAAGTTCGCAACATTGTACAAGAGGTAGCAACTAAAACCATCCCAAAGAAAAAGAAATGCAAGAAAGCAAAATGGCTGTCTGAGGAAGCTTTGCAAATAGCTGAGGAAAGAAGGGAAGCGAAAGACAAAAGAGAAAGATACACCCAATTGAATGCAGAATTCCAGAGAGTAGCTAGAAGAGATGAGAATGCCTTCTTAAATGAACAGTGCAAAGAAATAGAAGAAAACAACAGAATAGGGAGGACCAGAAATCTCTTCAAGAAAATTGGAGATATGAAGGGAATGTTTCATGCAAAGATGGGCATGATAAAGGACCAAAATGGCAGAGACCTAACAGAGGCAGAAGAGATTAAGAAGAGATGGCAAAACTACACAGAAGAACTATACAAGAATGAGCTTAACATCCCAGATAACCACAATGAGATGGTCATTGACCTCGAACCAGACATCCTAGAATGTGAAGTGAAATGGGCCTTAAAAAATCTGAGCAACAACAAAGCTAGTGGAGGTGACAGTATTCCAGCTGAGCTATTCAAAATCTTAAAAGACGATGCAGTAAAAGTGCTACACTCAATTTGCCAGCAAATTTGGAAAACTCAACCGTGGCCACAGGATTGGAAAAGGTCAGTTTACATTCCAATTCCAAAGAAAGGCAATGCCAAAGAATGTTCACACTATCGCACCATTGCACTCATTTCACATGCTAGTAAAGTTATGCTTAAAATCCTACAAG